AACACTACGCAAGTTTTTGCTCACAGGGGCAGATTCTGCTGTTGGCTGACCGGAAATAAAGGCCTTTCCACGGCAGGTTGGTGAGCAGGACAGCGAAGTGGGCTTGGCACCGCTTGGCTTAGCCGTGGAGAGGACCCAGAGAGGGCCAGAGAACCGCAGAAAACGGCTGCCGGAGAATTATCGTGTCGAGCCACAGCGCGAAGGAATTTTTCCCAAGCATGATTTGGGTTTTCGAACCGTTTACTCCTGCTGTAACTTTCCGTGCCTCTACCAACCCTTGTTTTCCCCATGTCTTGACCCGGGACTCGCTCCCCGCTGCTGGTGCCCGCTGGTGCCCGCTGTCCACTCCGCACCCGGTGCGTGTCCGGCACGGTCCAGTCGGGCTCGGGCGGCCAGTCCGGCGGCCGGCCCGCCTCAAAATCTTATTAACAGACACTGGCAGCCCGGCTAAGGGGCAGGGCACGGAGCACACAGAAGCAGAGATACCACTCCCAGCTTACGGGTTCGCGTCAATTCCGTACTACTAGCGCGCTCTGAAGTGCAGTACGGCCAACTACTGGGCGGGGCGGGGCGGTCAAACCCTCCAGCCGGCCGGCCGGCCGGCGGTCAGCCAGGTAGGCGTAGCGGGCGAGAGGGTGCCCGTGGGGCCTCCCCAGCCGCCCGCTGAGCTAATATTTCTTCCGCGGCTCACAGGAATGACCGTTTACAACAAATTTTACTTGGAAAACAATACCAGCACGGGAGTGACTCGATCTGACGAGGTTTTGAAAATTGAAATCTATTGACTGATTTGGATTCTCTTTTTAAAAGAAGTGGGGAGTGACTCGATCGAGGTTTTGAAAATTGAAATCTATTGACTGATTCGGATTCTCTTTTTAAAAGAAAACGAAAGTTTTTCATGACCAAAGGCAATCAGAGTCGAAATAACGGATATATTGGTATCAAAACAGTACAAACAATGTCAAAAATGACTATACTTTTATTTTCAGTTTGGAGTCCATGACTTGCCTATTTCACCTCTGATCGTCACAGACTATAAGATATTTTTGGTTTACTTTCCCATGTGTAGTCCAACTGTGGCCCCAGAACTGAAAAGTAAAATTACTTCAAATTAACTGTCATATCTGTTAAATCATGTTCCTCTATTAGATGTTAGTGGTTCAGTCTTCCAAATGTGTGTCATTTATTTTTAATAATATCACAAAATAAACCCAAACTCAAACCAACATCATTCCATGTCAAACTGCATCTACAATTACCCAATCCATTGAACAGGCAATATCGTTACTTTTGATTTTGTTCTACATGTGTAAGACCGTAAGCAAGGAATAAAATTATAATAATTTTAGAAATGAAAAAAAGGTGCTGTTGTACAAAATACTTGTTTATCTTAACATATTCTAACTAAACTACTGTAAGAGAATACAAGTCTGACTGGTTTACCAAACAAATGGTTGACAACATCAAAGTAACGATATTGGCTGTGCAATGGATTAGTTAATTGCAGTTGCAGTTCAACAGGGAAAAATGTTGGTATACGTTTGATTTTAGTTTATGATATTGTTAGAGATAAATGACACACAGTTGAAGACCGAATTACTAACATAATAGAGGTACATGATTTAATTTAACAGCTTTGACAGTTTACAATTTAGTAATTTTATATTAAGTTCCGAGACTAGAGTTAGACTCCTGTTTTCATGCCAATCTCTGTTATTTCAAATCTAGTTGCATTAGGTAATAAAAAAGTTTCATTTTCTTTTAAAAAGAGGGATCAGAATCAGTAGTTAGATTTCAATTTTCACTGACCTTGTCATCTGCCCCTACCCCCAACAACCCCTCTCTTCAACACGTAAGCCGTTACAGAAATGACTTTTGTTTCCCCTCAGCGTACATTTCTCAAACTTTGCAAAATGAGTCCTGCAGCTCTAAAAATAAGATTTTCATATTCATTTCGACCAACAAACATCACAATCGCTTATTAAAAAGCGTTCAAATCTCGAAGTGGGCGCATCTGCCTATCTCCTTCACCGCGCACTGGTACTGCTGCCAACCTCCCGAGCACCACAGCAGGTGGCCACCGGGGCAAAATAGTTAAAATGCGTATTTTTCCTTTTGTTGGTGTTTGTGTTATTGTGGAATAGTGTACTTATGAGGGAAACGAGAATACTTTGTGGTACTTTATCGTTAAACTAAAAATACGACAGGAAACCGTCACCAGTTTCTCGTCTTAGGTTGCCGACCCTTCCAGTACGGCATTCGTCGGGGCCGGCCTATCCCAGTGGAACCTCTGCTTCTGTGTGTTCCGTGGGGCAGGGGCGGTCCACGCTGGCCCGAGGGGGAGGGGGAGGGGTGGCCGGTCTTCACTTTGCATCTTGTCGTGTCGGGCAGGACCGGAGCGGACCGCGGGCAGCGGCGGCCGGCCAGGCGAGGCGGGTCCGGCTCACCCGGCTTGACGGATTAAAGTACACCCCCAGCACCACCACCCGACCCGAGCGCGCCCGCGCAGCCCGCGCGACGGGACAGTCGAAAAGCTTCGGTTTCGGCCGTCGTAGTTAATTTCTGGCCCGCTCCTTCCTCATTACACTGACAGAGCGGGGGGGGGGGGGGCTGCGTCTGCGGCCGTCCACGGCGTCCACTTTGCTGTCCCCACGGTGGACGACGGAGGGCAGTGCGTTACGCTCGGCAGGGCAGCCGCCGCTGGTGCTGAAGTATACCAACCCACAAACCTGCCGCAAAGTAACGAACATCTCCCGTACACAAATACAGCATAGAAGACAAGCGCGTTTTATACCTGGACAAGACCATCACATCCGTTGATGTCCAGCCCGGCCCGATCCATAACAAAACCGACTGGTGGTCGGACAGATCAGTACTTTTGAAGGCCGCGGCGCGTTTCGTTGCACGGTCAGTTTTCGTTTCTGGAGCAGGTTCGGATGCCTGCCCCGGTGGACGGGGCGACGGGCTGCGCGCTGCGCCCTCCTGGACGGGCGGAAGGCTTCCGGCCGCCGGCGTCCAGCCATTAGGCCTTACGTTCTAAAGCGTCAACCCTTGTCCGAGATGGGAATCGAATTAAGTACTTTCCGCCCGTGTCCGCGGCCTTCAGCGCCCGGCGCCGGCCCTCCTCACGGCCGCCAGAACTCAACCTTCGCCCCCCGGGCCCGGCGGGGCGTGGTGGCGGGGCGCGGTGCTGACAGCTGCTGCCCACGCGTCGTCCTCGGAACCACCCTCTCCGGCGAGGCCCTGACTGGGGAGCAGGGCTCACCGTGGACCGACACTGCGAAAACTGACAGCGAATGCGAGTAATACAAACACATTCATTTTCCGGTGGGCACAGTACTTTAAGAGTATTACCCCTCTTGAAAATACTGTAGGCCTACAATTCAAATCGAGAATCAGACACCTCATACGATTGGCTGAAACTATTTACATAAACCACACAAATTAAAAAAGGGAGAAGTCTTATATCTTTAGTTGGGGAAGCGGAAACACTGCCGAACGCAGCCAGCGCGTGCGAGCGACGTGGCCTGCTCGCCCACGCACGGGGCCATCCCGCTGGCTGCTGGTTGGCCCACGGGTTGGCCCACGGGCTGGTCGGGAGGGATTGGAGATCATAACCTTAAATCAAACCGGGGCTCCCTGGTCCGCCCTGCTCCGCCCGACGCCAGCACCGCTGACACGTATCACAGCCCGCCAGTAGCTCCTCCGGCGCCCCTCGCTGCTACCCCCCCCCCCAACTTAACTTCGCTCTTTCCTCTCCGATACCCTTTCCGACCGTTCCTCAACGTTTCGTCCGATCCAGGCGCCGGCCGCGTCGCCGGCTGCCAAGCCTCGACTTATTTATAGTAAGTCTCTGGGTCAATATCGTTGACGGGGGAGGGAGACGGCGGAGCGAGTCTCTCCCTCGAGTCTCCCGCGGGGGAGCGAGCAGGGGCCAGGGCGCCCGGCGGGGCCGCAGCCCTCCGGCCACCCGGACGCGACCCGCGCGCGTCGTGATGTGTGGATGCGCTGTCATTCAGGGCGGGCCAAAGCCCAATGACTTGGAACACATATTCATAAATCCCAGGAGGACGCCTTGCAGCCCGCCGCCGCGGGGCGGGAAGGGGCCACTGAGGGCCAGAGAAATGCAGTCGACGTTGAAATTCGCCGGAATGTCGGGAGTCGGAGTGTCGACCCCGGGGAAGGATACGAAAAGGCCACTGAGCTGAGCTACGAGCCCAACGCCCAGCGCACCGCTCTGGTTGCCAGACGCCACCGCCACTGCGTTCTACACACTGCTGGATTATGTACTTTTTTGTCATACATTACTAATGCACATTGCACGTAATTACGCACGGCATTGTACACAATCATCTAAGATAAATTGTACGTAGTTATGTACAAAAGAAAAAGTAGCTCTTAGTGACCATTATTTATCTAGTGTACACTTTAAAAATGTCACGGTTTCAGGAAGAAGGATGAAATTTTTGAGCTCGTTCCCGACAATGACCTTCCGCCCAAATTTTTCTGTCGGTCGTGGGGGACGTAACTAATCGGGCGGGGCAGCCAGGGCCGGGGGCCGGCTGGCGCTGCTTGCGAGCGTGCAAGAGCGGCCACATCCGCCGCATCCCTCCCGCCTCCATCGCTTCTGTGGTCGACTCAAAGCAATCTCTCTGGAGCTGCCAATAACTCAGAATAACTGCCTGGCGTCCGCTGCTACATCAGTCAGTCCCCTCCTCCCCCCTCCCGCAGCCTTGCCCTGCGCTCTCACCGACCGATGCGTCGAGACGCAGAGACGAGAGCACTGCTCAACGTTTCGTTCGCTCGATTTTCTCTCGAGTTAACGGAATTGTGCATCAAAACATAGACCTAAATTCTAGTTCCTTTAAAAGTGACTCGGGTCGGCGTGCTGGGCGGGTTGACTCGGTTGACTGCCTGAGCGACTGTCAGCTGTCTCGTTTGTTGCGCTTCCGAGGTCAGTGTCGCTCGAGGCTCGAGCAGCTGTGCGTGCGCTAGTCTTCCCAGCAAAAGAATAGTGAAGTGCGAAAGGCGGATTCCGTGGCTCTTTTCCCCCACTACTCAGTTCTCACCAATCAGTCCACAGGAAACTGAGTAGTGGGGGAAAAGAGTCACGGAATCCGCCTTCCGCACTTCACTATTCTTTCGCTGGGAAGACTAGCGTGCGGGTCTGCCGCTGAGCCGTGCCGACTCCGGTGTGTTTACAGTGTCGTGACTTCTGTTCTGCCGGGTCAATGTGTCGTTTTGTCTACTTGTCGCCAGCAACCGTTATCTGACGTGTTCCGATGTGTTAAGTGTTGAAACAGAGAGACGTCCTTGGTTGTCATCGGAATAACCTCGCACGTCTATGCCATCCTAACCTCAAACCTGTTCGTCGGTGAGTGGTAAGTAAATATTACACACAGTGTACGAAGCATTTTCTATCTCAAATCTTAGAAACGATGACCCCCCCCCCTCAACCCCTGCATTCGCACAGTGCTACATCCGCCCCCTTACATCTTATTGACGGTGACAGCCTGTATGTGGGCGTTGGGTGCATGTGGGGGTGTTTCGGGAGGATGGCGAGGGGCGGGGGTTCGAGGCGGTATGGCGGGCCAATGTGGCAGTGTATGGAACTTGCCACGCAAATCATCACATGTAGGGATTGCCCCACAACATGGGGATGCCTCCCCCCCTCCTCCCCCACCACCCGCCGCCGTGGACACGTTTGCGCGCACGTGTGGATGGCAGCCTGCAGTGATAAACAAGTGCAGCGGTCTGCTCCATTCTGGTATGGCAAGCTCGGCAGGGCCTCGGCTCGGCACGGCCACCCCGCTCCCCGCTTGGCAAGACCTCCACTGCCTCTCCACCCATCCGCGGCCTCCGCCCTCCGCCGCCGCCGCGTCGTCCCCGAGGTCAGAGCAACGGGCCTGGCACCCATACTCCCCATTTAAGCCTCTCTGGGTATTATTCTCTATGCTAAAGGCGAATTAAGTCTACGGGCTACTGCGCCCCCCCCCCCCTCCCGCGCAGTGTACTACCACGGCGCACCTCCAGCCCGCGCTAGGGGAAATAAGTCAGAAGCAGAACGCGCAGACTGTAAATGTATCGGACTTTCTTGTTCCCTGGCGCAAAATGTAGGTTCGTATAAAATGCGCGACCAACTTGCAAAGGACCTGATACTTGAGGGTGCCGTGCGTGGCGGGGCGTGGCGCGGCGTGGCGCGCAGCGCACTCCCATTCTGTGCCCTCCGCTCCCCCTCCCCGAGGCACGCAGCCTCTTGTTGTTTATGACGGACCAGCACTGCTCGCGATTCCAGTACTGAATCAGTTGTACGTTATATACAAGCTGTTCTGCCCCCCAGACGCCGCCTCCTCGCCCAGCCCAGCCGTGCACCCCCACCCTCCCCCATCCACCCCTTCACCCGCACCTATATCGCCTCGAGTAGTTGGCACTCGTTGACTCCCATTCCTTTGCAAGTCCTTGCATTAGCGCGATGAACACTTGCCTCCCTCCTAAATTGTAGAATAGAGTCTTTAAAAAATCGCTTCGCTTCAATTTGAAAAAAAAAAGTACAAATAGAAAATTATCTTGAAAAAAAATCAAAACAAAAAATATTCCAAGAAAAAGCAGAGGGTGGTCTGAACCGCCTTGCAGTTAGGCAACGCAAAGGCGTATGTGCGTTGGGTTGCCTACCCGTTGGGCGTCAAGACTCGGCAAGTTCTGCATGTGTGTGCTTCCGGCCGCACTGTTCTCCCAACACTAGCACTTGGCGATTTGGCGCCCACTATTCCATGTCCCCTCCCCCATCCCCCTCACACAAAGTGGACGTGCTCAGATGTCCCGCACAAGGCGCCTCCGCGTAATAGTCCAACTCCAAAGGGGCGCGGGCCTCCGAGTCTCTGATCGCCCCGCGAGTCAGGCGCGATGGTATTTGGCCGCATAATTCCTTGCGCGCGATCCGAAGTGCGAAGTAATATTACCGACAATGAAACAATGGGTCGTGTTAGGGGGAGCAGGGGGAGTGTGGAGCGGGTCGCGGACGTGGAGGGTGTCCGGGAGGGCGCGGGGCCGAGGGAGGTCGACTTCGAGGCGATGATGGGCGTTTCTAACCGCGTGTGTTTTTTCTCCGCGCCTCTATTCGCCGCTTGGTCGCTCGGTGCATGCGCACGGGAGCGCAACCTGCACCACACCACCACCTCCTCACAGTCTGGCCGGGGCTTGTCAGCTTGCGTCGCGTGGCGTTTAGTGTGTTATCACGAGATTGTGTTGTTGCTCGGGGGGCCCGACCCGACCGGCGCGCGCGCGCGATCCAATGCGAGTCAAAGGACAGCAATATCACGGTCGTTATGAGGCTGTCAGAGCTCTATCTAAACGGTCGGGCCCTAATGCCGGCGGGCGGGCCCGGGCCGGGCCGGGCCCCAGGCTGTTACAGGGGCCGGCGCGATGCTTAAGACCACCCTGGCCCCCGCCGCCTCCGCCGTTAGTGCGGCCCACATCCCGCACATCACACGCTCACTAGCTCACCCAATCACGACGCGTGTCTCCGCCGGCGCTAGCGCAGCCGCCGCGCGGTTGGTCGGACGGACCCTCCCCACCGCGGGGCCCACGTCAGTGCCGATAGTGATGGACTGCAAGTGTCCGTGAGTCGTTTTGGGCCGCGTGCCTTTTTTCTTTGTGTTCTTTTCGTCCCATCTACCCGTCCGTCTGGCGGCGGCCATGCGAGGGCCGGGCCTTCAGCCGTTCCTTCAGCCGGGCCTTCAGCCGGGCCGCGCCATCTGGCGGTGGATCGCTCCATTACAGAAGAGGCGGGTTATTATCTGCCATCTAATGGCGATGGCTGAGCGCGGCGCCGCTTAATGCGAGTGTCTTAATGGCGCCAATTAGAGCCGTATTTGTCTATTCTTCCAGGCGGGGAGGCGGGGCGGCGGGGCGTGTACAGCGTGCGCCCTCGTCAGCTGTTCGAGCAGGTGCAGCCGGCAATGCACGCTCACCTGGAAATGGAACACGCGCCCTTTCAGGACTGGCAAACCATGTTACAGGATCTTTTCAGGTTCAGGGTCTCTACCTGGGGAGTTAATCTTTTCTGAATGGTGCATTTGCTCCCTGTTCAGCCCCCGATATTTAACGTGTATTGCTGTCTTCTCTGTCAACTCAAATGTGTACATGGTACACATTAAAGAAAGTGTACATGGCATGTATGCTTTAATTAATGTGTACATGGCTATGTACACATTTATAAATGTGTACATGCCTATGTACACTTTCTTTAATGTGTACATGGGCATGTACACATTAAAAGATGTGTACATGGCATGTATACTAACGGTTGTATGTACACTTTAAAAGATGTTTACATGGGCATGTACACATTTATAAATGTGTACATGGTCATGTACACATTTATAAATGTGTACATAGTCATGTACACATTAATTAAAGCATACATGCCATGTACACTTTCTTTAATGTGTACCATGTACACATTTGAATTGACAGAGTTTGTCATTTCTGGTATTAGGCCAAAGAAGTCAGTTTTATTTTGTTTCTGGGTGGGTAGTGGGCCATTGTGAGTGACGGCACTGCGATCCCATCAGGTGGGCGAGCGCGGCCGGGTCCTGTTCCTCCTGCCGGGAGGACACTTCGCCCCCCCCCCCCTCCCCGCACTGTATCGCCAGTCGGCTTCTGTCCTTGTCTGCAGTAGGGGAGGAGAGAGAGACTAACCGAGAGAGGGAGAGAGAGAGAGAGAGAGAGAGAGAGGGACAGAAGTAGAGGAGGGAGGGGGTGAAAACCCTGGCGCTAAATGTTGCGCGAAAAACGTATGGACGCTCCGTGCCTTGGGGACGGATCAGCCGTGGCGCTCGGGGCCGGGCCGGGCTGGCCCTCTCTCTTCAGGGCGCGGGCACAAAGTGTTTCACTCACTCCCCCGCCCCCACCCCCGTGACAGCAATGGGTGGGCAGGGTGCGGAGAGAAGCCTATGACCGTCGCCTCCCTCCTCCTCCCCCTCCCTCTTCTCCTTCCTGACTGGCGTTCGAAAAGTGCTTCTCCCCCCTTCAATTGGCTCGTGGAAAATGAGGCCCTCCGTGTTTCGAACGCGTCCCCCGTCCTGAGAGCGTTGTTCTCCGCTCCATGCCGTTCTGGCCGCTGTTGCTGCCGCGTCCGAAAGACCTCCCCCGACACCCGCGGCTTAGGGTTCAGAACCCCGCGGAAATGTTTTACTCTTTATTTTTTTTTCATTCCTTCCCTCACACTCTTTTTTCTTCTCCTGGTCGAAAATTCCGTGTTGCCGAGCTAACGTTTGCCCCGCAGCTCCGCGCTCGTGCTGAAGTGTATTGTTTTGTGAGGGGGGCGCTGGCGGGGCGGGGCGGGGTGGAGCCGAGCGGAGCGTGGTCGGAAGGCGAGATGAGACACCCGGGAGGTCCCACGAAAAGGAATCACTAATTAGAAGCCTGTTGGCGTGGGCCGGGACTGGGCGGCGACTCAAGCACGGTTATCGACAGCGACGCCTTTGACTGTGTGCCGCCCCCCCCCCCCCGCCGCCCCCGCGGCCCCCGCCCCCCAGCCTCTTTTTCTAATTAGTTGAGCAGCCAAGTCAATTGCTGCGCGATGCGGTCCGAGGCACGTGCCTCTGTGTTTACACCTCGCGCAGAAAATGATAATTATGGCGCGTCTCGATGTAATCTCCTCGGCGACTAGATAAGGGACAACAAAGCAGTGGATAAGCAAGCATTGCCCCCACCAAACGCCAAAAGGGAAGGACAAAAAAAGGAAAGAGAAAAAAAAAAGATCAAGTGGGTTTTGGGGAATTTCTTGACGAACTGCTTTAAGGAGTACTCGAACTCTGCTTCTGTGGCGATTAATGTTGCTAACGACTCCGGCAGTTACGCAATATGGAGTGCGAGAAATACACGAGTTGTGATCACGGATCAAACGACGATTTGAGGCAGAGAGCGTTTATATACGACCGCGAGAAACTACTGGTGTCGGTTGCAATGATATATGTCTCAAGTCGAGGGATGGTCGGAGGGGCGGGGTCGGGGGCGCCCTGCCGACACCGAGGCTGCCGCGCCGGTGCCACGCCCGCCTGCCGGGGCCTCAGCAGGAGCCTCTACAGGTTCGCCTGGAGATAATTCGCAGATAATTTCAAGCTGAAATCAACTGCGCCGACGTAACTTTGATCAAGATCTCTGGCGCAGCGCGCGAAGTGTAAGACCCATTAAGTGCGGCCCTAAGTCATACCTGATAGGCGCCCGCGCGCAACCTCACCTGCCACGACTTCTCGGCCCGATATTTCATTGCCAAGTGTCGCTATTAACAACAAGTTAGGAGATAGTAATGTAAGTGTGAGGGAAGGCGGCGGGGCGGCGGCAGGCCTGCATGCGGAGCGACAAGCCCAGCGGATAGCGCAGCGGCGGCAGCGGCCACACCCATAAATCCAGACATCCTCCTGGACTTCATTTCAGTTGTGCTTTAGTTTAGTCGTCGCGCCATGAGCCATAGCCCCCCCCCCCCTAGTTCACACAAGTTGTATTGCGTTGCCCCGCCCTGCTCCGCCCCGCCCCGCCCCGCCCCGTTATCACGACACTTGACCGGCGACCCCTCTGGCGCGCTGCTGTTTCTGATGGTGTGTTGTCGCTGCAAGTTTGGTGCGGCTTCTTTCGGCCTGCCAGCACCTCTAATTCGTGCCATTATCTGACTCGCGGCCCGCGCCGCCCGCCCCAGTGATCGGCCTCCTCGCTATCGCCTGCCCTGTGATTTGTGGTCCAAACTTGGGTGGAAGGCTCTGGCGGAGCGGAGAATGTGGTGTTCAGGCCTCTAGTCGGAGGAGCGTCGCATAATTTGGATAAGTCGTCCGGGGCCCAGAGCGCGGCGCGGCGCACCCCCGGGGGGCTGCTGCTGCTGCCGCCGCCTCCGGGGGGCGGAGCCGATGGGGGCGGGGCCAATTCATGTGTGGCTCGGCCCCTACCACCCTGACTGACTGTCTGTGCGCAACATGAGGCCGCTGCCACGGCTGACTGCTGACTGGGCGGCGGGGAACTGTGTCTTGTACTGAGGCACTGTGAAGCGTATCGGTGGGACCTCTGCGCGAGGCACGCCGGCCGGCCGGTAACACTTAATGCTATTTGGATTGAATGTCCGGCCGGGCGGCTGGTGGCGCGCTGCTGGACGCAAGGCCGGCCACAAGGGACCCGGCCCGAGGCCCGAACAGAGGTCCGGCCGCATTGCATTTGGCTCACCTCTTGTTAATCCCCGGCCAAAGCCCGCCTCTAAATCATGGGTGGCCGCGGCACGGCCGGCCCGGCGCACCAAGGACCTCGCCGAGCAGAGCAGAGCACCTCACCTAGCTCAGCGCGCGGACCTCGGACCTCATTGAGAGCGACAGAGCGACAGAGCGACACGAGAGAGCACCGCAGCATCGCCGCAGTGGGGGAGGGAGAGGGAGGGGGCGCCTTCCAAACAATCCAGGACTAGTTTTTGGGGAGCCACGTTTGGAAAAGAGAATGGGAAACACGGGAGTGAGCGCCGGGAGGTAATTTGCGTCGATACGGCCGGCGTCAGACACCAAAGGCGGGGCGGGGAGGGGCGGCCTGGCCACCTCTAAGGGGTTGTGACGGGCCCTAAAAGCCACCAGAGGGCGTCGGGCCTCCCCACCCCACCCCGGCCGGACCAGACCAAGGACAGAAATAAGTCATTCACCACTTCAAAGAGAATAACACAAGACAGGCGCCGGCCGGGGGTTGTGTCGGACACAGCGTAAGCCCTCTTGGCTGCGATGCTTGTCACGGCGAGTGTGGAGTCACTGGGGCGCTAGTGACGAGGCACAGTTTTAAGAATCGTTAGCCATGAGAAATATCACTCAATAAACCTGTAAAACATACTTTTTTACAGTGCAGTTTTATGATAATTTTCGGTACAACAGTGGTGATTGTAATCGGGGTAAATTCGTGACGACAATGGTCCCTCATGTTGACCGTGCCGTTTTGCCTTGTTCCTCCTCGCCTCTCCTTCCCTCCTGCCCCTCCCCTCGGCCCCTTGGGGTCAGCGGTTCGGTTTGGCACGATGACCAGGGCCCTGCCAGGCCTAGACCGGGGGCTCCAGGATGAGAAGAAACGAGATGGCCGCTCGGCGTGGATAAATTCTTTGCAGAGAAAAAGGGAGAGGGGGGAAGATGCGGGAGGGCTGGCGAAGGAGAGCGAGGGAAAGGAAGGGATTCGAACCTGTGGCCGTGTGCCTAAAGGCCGTGCCGTGGGTCCCTGAAGGCCGCGCCACGCCGCGCCATGCCGGCCAGATTGTGGACAGAGTTGTACATGAGAAGTTACGGGCACCTTCTCGCCGCCACGTCCGCCGCCCCCACAGGCTCGGCCTTGCCAAGTCGGAAATTTCATTTCAAAGTCGGATCAAACTGGAATCGAACGCTGGCGTCATTTCGATGGTGCTCGTGGTGTGGGCTCGTAGTGTTCCATCGCAGCCTGCCTACCCGCTCTTGCCATCTGTAGGACGCGGAGCGAAGGTATCATGCTTTGTACGGCGAGGTGTTCATAAGGCGAAGGTTAAAGCAATAAGGCGCAGGCACGCGCGCTCGCATCTGCAGATGGATATTTATTCAGGCAGGTGGTCATCATCTGGGCGCTCAAATAGGATTTGATGTGCCAGGGTCCCTCCACGCCCTCCACGGCGAAACGTGACACACGTTATTACAAATGAATATTTCCATTTATTCTATTTTGTTGTGCCTCGTTCCCCCTTTATGTGCCCTCCCCCTCCGCCTGACCCTCCTTGCCGGCAAACCAAGCTGGCCCGTTCCTTCTCATATTTCCTGTCATGTACCTTCGCTCAGCGCGCCCCGAAACATCTCTTCAGTGCAAAGCAGCAGAGAGACATAGTTTTGTTTCCCCTTGCTAGGATGTCTGTCAAAACTCGCGTCCATGGCACCCTGTTTTGTCATACCTTTGGTACGTCGTGCGTGATAGTATAGCCACTAGGCCTAGCTCGGCACTTGGCCCAACGATAGTAACAGCCATTATGAAAGATTTGTGTCTCAACTTGGATGAGGTGGGGTCGGAAGAGACCATCACTTGCAGCCTTGGACTCGAATCGGATGTAAGCTGGACAGCTGCTGTATAAGAGGGCTGGCTGAATCCGAGGGAGGGAACCAAGCGGCCCCAAAATACACCGAGTGAACTGAATTACCAAAATTAACGCAATTCTCAACTGTGTTTCGCGACCCGATTGATTCAATTGGTGAAAAGATCCTCTAGTCCTTAGCCATTCCCGGTACTCTCGAGATAAGATTGCGGTTGCGTGGCACATAAAAAGAACTGTATCGACCGTCGCCCTTCAGTCGATCATCAACGTCAACATGAACGCCAAAATCATCCTTGTCGCCGTCGCGGCCATCTGCTGCTTCCAGGTACAATACCTAAAGAAGGGTGTTCCACACTTATTTTTCGGAGCTCTTGTGTGGTGTGCCGCATTTATCACATTTCTATTTAGGGCATCGCCGCGGCTAGCGTCGCTCGTCCTCTACCCTGGGCTGAGCAGCAGCAGATGTTCGAGCTCGACCTTGACCAGTTTGACCTTGACAACCTGGATGTGGATGCCGTCCTTGACAACTTGGTGATGACCCTGGAAAAAATGAGTGCTCAGGCTTTCGAGGTCTCCAACAGCAACCACAAACTCGGAGCTCCTAGGAATATTTTCACCTGCATCACCGCCCTCACCAGCGTAAGTAGACAGTGGGCAACGAGGGGGAAATACCTGCTTGGCGTTCAAAGGCTGTAAAATTAGTTTTAGTAGAAGTGCCTGTGCCCTTTTCAACCTGACATTTAAAGATCTGAACTGATTCAATCAATATGTACTGTTATGTGAATCTCTTAGCAATTTGTACATCTAAGCAGTGATTTCCTCCCCTCGTTGACAGGTGTTCAAGGAAGCTAAGGAAGTAAAGCAGTTGGTGGATGAGTTCAGCAAAATCAAGAAGGATCTCAATGATGCTAAGGAAGCGTGCAAGACCCCTACTGCACCCGAAACCACTGATGATTGCAACGAGAAGGCCACGAAGGCGTATGAGGTCGCCCATGCTGCCGCCAAGGGCAAGATTCTCCCCACTGTTATCAAGTCCTTAACCACTCTTTTCTCTCTGAAGGCTTGCCTTAGCATCGTTTAAGTAAATAAAGCACCAAATGTTTTATGGTATAAGTGCAATTCCATTGTCATGACTAATAAATGACTCGTCCGCTACATTTGAGCTTTTGCAAAAACTTAGATTGTGGCTTGACCAACCACTATGTGTTGCCTGCAGTGGGGCTTTGACGCGAAGACGGCAGTAAGTTCGGTTTGGAACTACTTCCACGCGGATACGATTTGCCAAGGCCAACCGGACCCCGTCATCTGTAAGAAGAATATTGTCTCGAATCTCTGGAACTCCGGGATCGACTTGCTAATTGACCCGATCATAACTTACACTGATTGCACTGACCTTCTGGCGTAACTGTAAATACTGAATAAAAAAATACATGAAATAGAGATACGTCTTCATAATCTATTAAATTTTCCGCCCATTTTCGTCGTGTCTTTATAAAAAATTCCATTGATTATCGATAATATTCGATATTTGGTTTGTAAAATACACCACCGAATGACTCCAAGTGGGTGATTCGCGGTTATTCGCCAGGCACCGTACCGTAGTAAGACTGCACTGTTCAAAAAAGTCAGAACTTCACGAAGAATTTGCTGTGTTAAGGCTGACAAAACTGCGTGATTTTTAGGGAAATCACAACGCTTCTTAGTTATCATAATTTGATTCACCTGAAAAGTACCTATTACAACTGGTCTACAATTTTAAAACACTATCAAAATGCACGTTTTTGGACTGTAAAGAAGTGTTGTGATTGGACAGTTCCTCCGTATCGAGCAAATGTTAGGAAATCACAAAATAATTTCAACAGTTTGAACCACTTGCTCGCTAGGTTTTTACTTTACAGACCTCAGTGCTCGCAATTAGAAGCCTAGAATGAGAGAATACACAGTATAAACTAAGAATTTTCACGTAAAGGAAAATGTGACACCTACTCAGAAAGCAAAAAAAAACTTTTTTAATTTAGAAGCTTCATCCGTTGAGATTAGATTTTGTGAATCGAAGAAATGCCGTAATTCCTTGACTTCACTCGAAAAACAAAGGTTAAACTGAATACGTTTTTAAGGGTGTTGCGTTTTAATGCCTTCGGAAAATCATAATGTTCAAAGGTAATTAAATTTAGCTCACTTTGATAGTTAAATGTATTTACAGGAGATAAGTGGTGAGGTCTTTGTGAGCATTAAAACTCTTCTCGTCCTACCCTTGTATTTACAGCGTTGCCCTCGTCAAAAGTCCCTACACTTTCCCCAAGTAGTCAAAAACCGTAACAGACATTTTATCCAGCGCACATTAATATCAACATTGCCGAGCGGTAGTAGAATTACTAATCCGAGTAAGTGCCTTTTAGCGCTTGAACGTTGTCCAGCGTATGCTAAAATCGTAACTATAGACGTTGACGTAACTCGCACTCCTGGATAATAGTGGATCAATATAATTTTTGATATAATGACTTTACAATTGACTTGCAAACATAAATTTTATTTTATAAAGCCTTAAAACATTGGTGTGGAAGGGGGTGGTGGAGGGAATGAGGGTGATAAGAGATTTAAGTGCACTCGTCGATGACGTCCTTGATTTCTTCGTAAGCGGTTGCAGCCTTCTGGACAGCAACATTGACCTCAGCGAAGATCTCGTTGATCTCTGCGGTTTTGGCGGCGTTGACGCAGGCCTCGATCTCCTCGGCGGTGGCGGCCTCGTTAGACTTGCAGGTAGCCTTCGCGGCCTGACCGTTCTTGACGATGGTCGTGAAGTCTTTAACAACGGCGAGTGTGTCCTTCACAACTCCAACGGCCTGAGTAAAGTGGAAGTGGCAAATGAAAATTGGTGCTGTAGCTGGGTTTGGTCGGGACAGGCAACGCTGTTGATGCTTACCTTGATCACTGATTTCGTGCACTTGATGATGTTCATGTTGAGGTTTGCGCTCTCCAGCTCCAGCTTCTCCTCGCGAGGAGCAGCCAGCGCCTAGAGACATTTGTTGAAATGTTAGATCTAACTTGTCAAGACCCACACTTTCAACAATATTTTTATATTAAGAAGGGCAGTCCGTGCCTTAGACGGTGTCTGATTTGGCTGATATTCGGTGGACATGTTCCTGACTCAATCGTAAAAAGTGCAACAAAGCGTTTTCCTGTAGAAAAATTTACTTTCGTAACAGTGGGCAAATTAGAGATTTTGCAGGCATCTTGGGCATTTTGCGTTATGACCAGAGTTTTTGTCCGAGATTGCCATCTAGGTGGCTCCGATTGCAGAATGAACCAAGGAACAATAATATGCCAGCGGAATGTCCCTAGGACCCATAGTTTTTAAAATATTGCCAACATTTACGAAATTTTAAAGAACGTCTTGGAGGACATGGTTCAAAATCTTTTATCAGTTCAGGCATTTAAAAGCGTGGAGTCCCTACTTGCCATGAGGCGGTTTGGTTTTGGGTGGTCCACGCATTGACGTACAGTTGCCCAATTTACATAGTCTAGTGGAAGCTGCGCGTTACTAACCTGTGCGCAGCACAGAGCGACGAAGGCGACGATTACGACCTTGCTGACCATGGTGAAGGTTTGGTTCGGATTGATTCGAATGGCTCATCTCGGGCAGCCGGAGTCGTTTTATAGCGCGGCCCTTGCTCGTAATCTCTATGAAGTGCGCCTGTCGAGTGGTAGTTTTTGCTGCCGAACATCGGACAAGCACTGACTGGGTACGATAGCGTTTGTAAATCTCGCCGAACTGTCTGCTAGGGGCTGTTCTACTTGAACAGGGAGAAGGTAGGGGTTAGGGTAAACACTGCTTTAACTACACTGTAAAAACGAAGGTTGCTTCCGACGCTTCTTAGGGTTCGGTTCTGTTTTCAGCTCCCTAAAACGGACTGAAAGACCAAACTTTATGTGAATACTTTTCATTAGAGCAGGCGCGGTATAAGGAGGGGGCGACAGGGGGGGGGGGCATGCACTGTGGGTTGCCTACATACAGGGGGTTGTAGCACAAATTGCCTACCTTTCTTTCGGCTCACTAGAGACGATGGTAATGAGGGGGGGGGGGGAATCGCCCCCCGCCCCCCCTTATACCGCGCCTGCATTAGAGGGGTGTCATATTCTAATTTCCATAAATAAATATGTTTGCAAAACAGACTTTCAACAAACCCGAGCCCACGTGAAAATTCGGCCTACCTTTTCAGTGGAGTGTTTAATTTTGTGCACGTTAATTGATGTATAAGTTCAAGTGTGCTAACTTTAGACACAATGTGGTGTGAAACTAGCTTGTGCGTCAATTGGTGGTCAAACTTTTGACATTTTCGAAAAGTCTTGCAGCTGCACACTATATTGTTTTCATCGATTGAAACGAACTGAGGGTGTGTCCAAGTGTTAAAAATTTAGACGTTTACAAAATGTCTAAAATTTGCAAGTGTGCATCTTTAGTTGGACACCATGTAATGCACCATGACATGCACACGTTGGTGTGCAAATTTTGCACCTGCTGGTTTAGAGAGACCTAAATGCTCGTAGCTACGAGCCGCAAATAAAATGGTAAAATAAAACAGGTTCTGATATTTCTAGGTGATTGTCTCAGTTACCCCTCCCGAATGTTTTTGGAAACTTTCAGGACCTTCCTCAGCATTTGAGGTATACTAATAGAATTGGCACATCATTTGAAACTATCGGACCTCTTCTAACTAAATAGGGAGTTTTCTTTATAATGCCGGGTGAATGTTGACGTAACTCGCACTGCCAGCCCAGATAACTGTGACTTAATGTATAATCTTGATATGGGTACATGTCAGAAAACTGTTAACATTCGGGTCGCGGATTTTGAAAAAAAATATTTTGTAAATCCTTTGCCCAGTGCCACACTTTCGGATATCGTGGAGAGAAGCAGGGATGGAAACGGTAATGAAATTATATTATCGCCTTTTTGGCTCCTGTTCAAAAGCTATGCGACTTAATTAACTTTCGACACCGTGCATTGGTAGAGTAGAAAAGGATTCATCTGATCCCATCAGGGTTGTTCGCAATATGTGCTTAACCTAGGAGTTGTGGCAACTTTTATCTAAGAAATTAAATTACCGGCACCCTAATATAATTTCTTGCGAAAAAGTGGCCACATCTCCCCAGAAAAGCAAATATTGTGGGCAACTCCGTTTGGCTGAGATAGAGCCTTTTCTAATATATTGCGGCATGGTGTCGAAAGTTCATCAAGGCCCGTAGTTTTTGAACAGGAGCCAAAAAGGCAATAATATAATTTCATTACCGTTTCCATCCCTGGAGAGAAGTCATTCGCTTTTCAAACGGGCTTGCACCCCATGGTTTCTTTGTCTTTTTTAAATCTAGCCATAATTTTATTCAAATGTTTCTGAAAGTCTGCTGTGCTCGTCTGCTCCAAGTTGAGTTACATAGGTTGCATTACAAGTTAAGTTACATTGGCGCGAATTGTGGTTGGGGAGGGGGGGGGGGCGTAGCGCAATTGATGCACACCTCGATCGCCTCCTCGGTGGCTTTCTCGTTAAACTTGCAGACAGCCCTCGCTGTTTGGCCGTGCTTGTAGATTGTTCTGAACTTGGTATAGATTTCAAAGGCGTCCGCGAGGGGGCCACCACTTCGATTTAGGATGTACACAGGATTACGTGATTACAGGGATTACACATGAGTTTTGAGAGAATACACGTGAATTTCTGTGGCAATAACCTTTCAATTTGGACAATTAGATGAAATTTAGTGATAAATTTTCAAAATTTGGTTAAGTATTACACGGATTGCAATGGGATTTACACTTCCATCTGTACACAGGATTGCGGGAGTCGTGGCCCCCTCGGGCGTCCGTCACCACCTTGACGGCCTGAGCGAAGTGATGTAGAAGTGGCAAGTGAAAAGTGGTGCTGTAGCATTCCTATGGTCGACTCAATTTATGCTGTTTGATGCTTACCTTGACCACTGATTTAGTGCACTTGACTTTTATGTTGAGGTTTGCGCTCTCCAGTTCCAGCTTCTCTTTGCGAGGAGCAGCCAGCGCCTATAAAACATTCGTTTAAGAGTTAGCTCTTGTCAAGATTTAGGCACACATACAAATTTGTACGCCTTTGACGTACAGATAATTAGCATGACCTTATTAACATCGTTGGGAAGCTAAACGTTACACCCCACATATACGTGTTCTCAATTCAAGAATCGCACTTAAAATTTTGAGACCCATTTCTTGTTTTAAGGAACAAGTAGGACTTAAAACAAGTCTTAAAACGATTCTTGGATTGGGAACACATTCTTTGGGGTGTACTCACCTGTGCGCAGCACAGAGCGACGGATGCGACGTTGACAACCTTGCTGACCATGGTGAAGGTTTGACTGGCACTCGGATTGATTCGAATGGCACATTTCGGCAAGCGTCGACCATTTCATACCCCGCCCTGAATCTCTAATGAAGTGCGCCTGTCGAATTGTAGTTTTCGAATGCAAGTCATTCATTCCGTTGGTGTGAGAGGGTCATGAAACCTTGAACCCTGAACCTCACGGGGGGAAAGTGGCTGACATGAGTAGGAGTAGGGCACGGGGCGACAGTGCGGCGGGCCCGGAGGGGTGGGCGGGACAAAACTTTGGTTTATGGCATCGGACAACAATAAGCGATGCCTGGGCTCTGGCGAGAGAGAGAGACAGAGAGAGAGAGAGAGAGAGAGAGAGAAGGACCGGCTGGGGCGCAGGACGGAAGATGTCATTATTACCCGGGAATAAATCTTTGGAGGACGTTAGGGCTCTCTAATGTTACACGCGGTGTCTCTCTCACACACATGGAGTCCGTCGCGCTTCCCCCTTCTCTTCGCACTTGCTCCCCTTGGCGCGCGGCGGCGGCAATAATTAGAACTGTTATAATAACAATAATTAATTGTTATGGTTTTCTATAACAATCGGTGTTGCGCCGAAACGGTTGGCGGCCGCCTCGCCCGCTCTCGGTCCGTCTGTCCGACGCCCCGCCCCGCCCCGCCGCCCAGCCCAGTGTCCTTTTGGCGTCGCCAGAATTAAATGGAATGTGTGTAAGCCTTTGGTCGGCCCGACCGGGGCAGGGCCAGGCAGGGTGGGGCGGGTCCACAGACCCGCGGATCTATAAATTTGACGCGCTTACCTACCTTGCCCGGTCCAGCCCGGTCCACCCCGTTTTGGATTTGCCGGTCATGAATGTGCAATGGAGCCCCTCCTGCCCATTACGTGTTTCGATATTACGTCATTTTACGTTGTTGCGCGCGAAACAAAAGATGCATTCCGCTCATCTTGCTGTTTGCTGCCGTATGTGGCGTTTCAATGCCCCTCGCTGTGACGGTTGCGTGTGTCGAAGATTGAAGACGAAAGACGTGTTCTAAACAGTGGGGTGTAGGCCCATGGTGCTTACCATCGTTTAGTTGCGAGTTTATGAGTTATTGTGTCCGACGCGCTGCGCCAATCGCTTTCGGTCCAAATCTTGCGGTGCCTTGATTTATGTTCCACTCCTGACACATGTCGATCACGGCGGGGCTCATTGCAGCAGCGAGGTTTGAGACTTTGAAGATCTAGCCCATCAAAAGCACGCGTTGTCAGCACATCAAGGCTTCTGAAAGTTGCTTTTTGTCGAAGGCAATGTTGATTCCTTACGGTACCTTGTTTTAGGGAACCCCCCTCTTCTCTCCCTCCTTCCCTCCTTCCATCTCTCCCTCTCTCTGTCACAGTAATGTGCTCGGGACGTAAGACTATCGCAGTTTGCATGGAATGGTCGGCTGGCATAGTTGAGGGAGTGAGTTTATAATGTCGATAAATCTGCCCCGTTGCTGGTCGCTGCGTATGCCGTGATGCATGCGATATGTTACACTGTAGTTCATATGGTTGGTTATGCGGCGGAATGATTTGTCACTCGCTATTAATTATAGTGCAGCCTCAGCGGCAGACCCACCTTCAGCCCTTTCCGCCCCCACCCGCTCGGTCCCCCAGTTCCTCTTCCTGCCTGCCTCGGACCTTTTGGGGATGTCGGTCCTCCCTCATGCCTACTCCGGTTAGAAAACTACCCAAAGTCCGGAAAACTAAAAATTCGCTCCTTAACGTGAATCAAATCAGCAGTCTTATCGAGATTAATTACTTCAATTTTATTTTTCGTTAGAAATGTTTGCACTTTTTAAACTAATCAGTTAGCGAGATGGGACCAGCATGTCATGTAGCGTTTAAAACATCGGTTTGCAAGATGACCATATTCATTAAGGAGCACGGCGCAAACTCTCTCTGTATTTCGCGGCAGAGTCGTGCAGCCAATTTCGAGTGAGTGTAACTTAACGTAACGAAGGCGCGGGGCGGCGGCCGTAAAAGTGAAGAGGCTGATCAAAGCGGCGTTGGAATGACTGGGATTACTGGGCCGTGTGGGGCTCTCTGCATATGAAGGCATTGGTAATGAGAGGAAGGAGGTGGTGGGGCCTCGCCGGGCCTCGCTGCTGACAGCGCGGAGGGTGGCGGCGCGACGGGTTTGGGGATCACGACGCCCGGTTTTGTGTCGGATCTCCCGTTAATCGCATCAAAGGGAATGGTTTTAGGCATGCGTTACGTGCTGCTGCTGCTGCTGCTGTTACCGCCGCCCCGGGGCACCCCTGCGCAAGGCGAGAGGTGCGCGCTGCTAACCCTCATAAATTGGGCACAATTTAATCAATTCTCGCACCTATTGTGTTGTTAC